AATACTGTACACCAAAAAACCAGATAATCAGCATGAGGTCTAATTAACCTTCTTTAGAGACGTGGTTAGAAACTCTCAAAGCCTTCTAGTTGCCATGTCTACTCTGTCCAAACACCAGGCAGCAAAGATTCGTTGCGGAGCCGTGGCTCTGCCCAGGATATGAACACAATTGAACTGTCTAGACATCAAAACAACATATCAATATTGGATACAAAAACCGTATCCATGGAGTCCAGAAAGGTATTTAAAGAAAACCAACGCAGTTACCTGGACTGAACTTCAGGCAGAACGATTCCAGTTTCTACGTGGCCTTGTAAGGCCAGCAGCACGCCTTGTGCTAAAAAACAAAACCTCAGCCACCACATTGCCACAGGAGAGCAGCAGGGTCATGAGGCACAGGAGGTTGAAGCTCTCTGGGGCTGTGGCACCCAGCTCCTTACAGGACTGCTGCACCCAGCTGGCTGGCACTGCGGAGGGGGAAAGGTCATCAATATCCTAACAGGCAATTGCCAGCAGCACAGCAACAAAGAGGGTATACAGCACGTGCATATGTTCTCAGAGAGAAGAAGGATGATGGATTAGTTTCTGTTTGAAATAAATTCAAAGCTTGTGAATGGAACGTATGAATTGGTACTGTATCAGGAAATAATTCTTCTGGAGTAATACACCAGGACTGCCTTGGTACTGCAGGCTCACAGAATGGAAATCACCTCAAAGTACATTTTCATCAGTCTACAAGAATCAAAAACAATGGTGCTCTTTCCTTACCAGGATTAACAGCACAGCCCATGAAGATAAGGCCTTGTAAGCAAGGGAGCAGCAGCTACATTCTCAGATGTCTCCATGATAGGAAAGTTACTAGTGGAGAACTTGCCATGTTCACCACAGTTTGGAGAGCTCAGTCTTCTTTCAGTTCTCCACTGCTGCAGGCAACACCACCAAAGAAAGGTGTTCAGGTGGTGAACAGGATGACCTAAGCCATTGTGAAAGACATAGGTCAGCATTAGAGAACTAACTGCATCGTACAGCCCGTGTTTGAACAACAGCTCAAAAAAAAAAAAAAGGTTCCATGGACATGTTTATACTAAGCTGTACTCTTAACAGATGCTTCCCACCTTTCTGTGTCTTTGTGGAAAGACATTTCAACCCAGCCTGTGTGTTGCTACACCCTGTTTGATGTCTGTCATCTGACAACTTTCAGCAAATGTAAAGTTGCTCTTCACATATAGAAACTGGTCCATAAATTAAACATCAAAGCATAAGCAACTAATTACCGTCTGCAGCCCTGCTGATTTAGACCATGAATTAACATTATGTAGAAAAAGGAGATCTCAAAGGAAAAGAGTGGGAAAGCAATTACCTGTCAGTAAGTGATATCCGTCCTTTTGAGTCCACATAAATCCCACTCTGTGTTACAGCAGGAGCATGGCAGACAGCTGTCCTTAAAAAGAAAGTTAAAAAAAAGATTGTATTTTAACTCCAGTTTTAGACAACTGAGAATAAACAGCCTTTTCTATACAACGTAGACATCTGAGCTGGATTCCAGTTCAAGGTACTGCATTATTTCTGCACCTTGCTGAGTACAATAATCATGTCCATCCCAAACAAAACGTATCCCTTCCTTGTAGGTTGGTTGTGGTATTGTAGGCTGGTAGAGAAGGATCACTGAAACTTTTGACTCAGAACAGGGCATTTGAACTTAAGCTTCTCTAGCAAAAAGCACAACTGTGATTAAATTTCTTGGAAGAGGCTGAAGAAAATCTGTGATTTGAGTTTTGCTTACTTGGTGTTCCCAGGAACTGAACATCATCGTTCTCCTCACCTGGTCCAGCAAACCAAGGAATGCAGCACAAGTACTGGTCTGCATTAAGGAAACGTTAATGACAGGAAGCTTCCTGCATCAGACTGAAAAATATTTGTTGATACACCATAAAGTAAGACAGAGACCTATCTGTGTTTAGAAAGCAGTTTTCAGCTTTTTTCTGTTGTTTCAACAGGCTAATTATTGGACCTTAGCATAGGCGTATTTCACATTTAGAAGGCAGTTCTTGCCTGCAAAAGATACACTGGACAGTAAAGGGTAGACTTTCCCATTTCAGAGCAAAGAGCATTACCTTAATCTTTTATCTGGGCCTGCTTTTCAGAGGCACTTGATACAGGAGCTGTACCAAACACTTCCTTGAATACATAAAGCCAGAGATAGAGTTACACACGATCTGCGCCGCTGGGAAGACAAAAGCTCCTATATTACCTGGCACATGCCTGCTAAATTATTGAAGTGACTCTTCAAACTGAATATATCCACTGGATAATTAGTCAACAGAAGAAAACGGTCTCTCTTTACAAAGCTAATGCTGGCAGGTATTGTATCTTTTATGTACTGTAACAGAAAGTGTTTGCAGAGCTGCTGCAACACAAACATTTGGAATTGCCCTACCAATGTGAAACTGTTCCAGAGGCACACAGCCCTCCCTGTGGTAATGCCTCCACCTCCTGCTGCCTTACGAGAGAGTCTTGAACGTCTTTTACCTAAAGGAGCACTATCCCTATTTCAGGAGCAGGGAAATGGCACAAATAACCAGAGGTTTGCTTTGTGTTAACAAACCCTCTGATGGAACTGAAACAGATACCTGTGAGCCTGAGTCCAGCCCAGCATCAGGTGGCACCCACAGATCGCTGCTGTTCCTTCAGTAAGGCTGCAGCTGCGATGTCAGCTCCTCATCAGCTCCTTTCCTGCTGCAGGTTGGAGACGCAGGCGATGACGTTCTGCCAATGCAGACCTCATTGCTCTGTTTCAAACGACGCCCAGGGACAAGATAGCTACGTGAGGTACTCAATGTACTCAAACGTCATAATTCAGACTATTTCTCTCTTTTGCTGTCTTGCACGCTTGTTAGCTTTGAAGATGAACATCCAGAGGCACCGCATTTCAAATTTTTGCCAAGAAGTGCACTTGTTTTTAGGTGACACAGCTCTGAGCTTACCGGCTTGCTTTTACTGAAGTACGCAGATTGGCTTCTTTCTTGGTCTTGGTTTACCTTTACAGGTAGATACGCTCCTCTAAAACTTGAATTAAAAGGAAAGCATTGCAACCTTACATATGCCCTTGCATTCTGTCAGTATTTTGGGGGAATAGCTTGATATTAGAAATACAGTTCAAGTTTTTATGCTTTTTTTCCTTTAAAACATCAAACATAAGAATTCAAAGCTGTATAAGCCAGTACAAAGACAAGATGCAATGAAGGCACGCTGTACTCCAGCACAGCTGTAGCCGTGTTGCACTGCAAAGCATCTGCACGCAGCGTGCACCATCCTGCCAACGCTGCCACCTCCTGGATTAAAGGGAGATGCACAGCAACAGGTTGAGATGACTTCGTGCATTTTATGCGTTACTGCAACTGTCAGTATAGAAAATTTGACGAGGGACTTGTTTTCTGAATTTATTCCGTTCATTGTGTTCGGCTGCAGCACTGCTGAGAGGCAACAAATCTCAGCCAGCTGTAAGCACAGAAACCAGGGAATGTTCCATGGTGAAGCTTCACCAAAAACAATTCCTTCCTTTGACAATAAGTGGGAATGAGAAAAGATCTCTGCTGGCCAAATGTGACCATACTGTGCAGCCAAACCTCCACCACAGCGGCTGTGAAAACACCTTCCCCAAGAATCTTACATTCCGCTTCAGGTATCTGTGGATAAGTAACTGCCACACAAGTAACACCGAGATGTGGATGAGCAAGCTCTTATCTTAAGGCTTGAACGGATACAGCTGTGTGCACTTCACTAAAGAACCCCACAATAATTCTGGGGAGGAGCAAATTGCCAATGCGTTCCTTCGGGTAATGGAGAACAAATCAGTTCAAAGTCTGACTCTGTCATCTCAGCTGAATGTATCTAACACACACAGCAATGTAATGGAAAATATGCCCTTCTAAAATTAGTCTGAACAATTAACATGATGACTAAATAATTCTGAAGCCTCACTGCGATAAAGGAATCGATTCCAACATGAGAATGAGTACTCAACTTAATTAATACAAAATGAAAACGTTTTGGCCAAGCTCAGTACCCTCTCAAATAGGTGCAGCTCCATGGAAACCCATAGAAATGTACATGCCAAATTGGGACGAATCTATTTGCTCTCAACTTCATTCACACAGATGTGTATTTAAACAAAGAATCAGAATCTTTAAACAAGAGACAGGTGATACATTCCATTCTTCCCTACGTACACCAGTGGGAGGTTCTGTTCATGGGATTTTAAATTTTTTTGCCATCAGCAATCACATGCACAACCTTGAGTCTACTGCCTGCTGGCATTCAGCTGATTGGGAAGACTGGAAAAACGTGGGAACAGCCAAAGATTACAGCACAAGCAACAACTGAAAAGCAAGCAACAATAAAATATACACACAGATCTATTTAAGCAAGCAAGCAGATATTTCTGTAACATAGAAAAAAGTTCCCAACAGTTAAAGAGAACTAATAGTCCATGAATGTGAAAACCAAAATCATATCAACATAGAAGTAGCAGGAAAAAACTCAGTTTGAGAAACAAAGCCCAGAAGAGACAACAGCAGTATGGACCTTCCTCAAAGATGCACCAAGTAGGAAATACACACCTTCATCAGCAAGGACTGATGAACACAGCAGATCTGAAGTCTGAGGGCCAGTGAGCTAGAGATTGTGAAGATAGTGTGACTCATTTATACTAAAGACCAATTGTCAGGTGTCTGGCTGTTGCAACAGCAACTTCATTCACTTTCATAACACAAAAGGCCTTTAATGCTACTCCTCTTAATTCTTTGAGGCAGTACCACAGGTATGATTCATAATGAAACAGCAGCTGCAAAATGCATTCCATTTGCAGATAAGGCTGCCGGGGAAGAAGTATTTTACTTTTAAAGAGTGTATGAATTGCAGTGAAAGGACACAAAGCTGCTCATAGAAGCAAGCACATCAACCTGGCCACTTGATTATAACAGAACTACAAAATATAAAAAAGCATTTCGTAAAAATTTTATTTGAAACATAGCATGAATCCATAACCATAACTGTCACAACATACAGTTTTACAGAGTTTGTACAATATGACAAGTATTTTTATACATGCATCCCCTCACCATTTTAATTGTTATCAAACAAGAGCTGAACAGGAACAGTAAGCATTCACTTCTAGAAAGAAACTTTGGCATGTGTACAACTGGATAGTTAGAAGTAAACAGTGGTAGATTCAGATCAGAGAGACACACATTGCTTTGACTTTGCTTCACAGCGTTTCTGATCAGGATAAAACTCACCAGCACTATTCTCTAGTTAATACAAAAATGAGCTTTCTTTTCAGTCCAGAAACCCCTGTTAAGGGACGAGAAGTGTTAACAGAGATGTAGAAGCTAACTCTTAACTCAAAAAATGTCAGCTTTAAAGCAGTGTAGGCCACTGGTATTTTGCACTCATCAGTTCGGTCACAAACAGAACAAAACTTTTAATGGGTTGCTGACATTACTGTACTCTATACCACTTGGCACAACTGGCAGTTTCTCCTTTGGACTAGCATGAGAATCGTTGGCTCAAAAGTCTTGTGCATTGCTGGAGTGTAAAAGTAAAGTAAAACAGAATTTGCACTTGTGTCCATCCATCTTCTGTCTTGAATTTGTCACTGCTATACATACCTACCAAAGTCATTAAAAAAAGGAAAACAATTTGCAAGGCATTTCCTCCCAGCATATAGCAGGCAGTACTTCCATTTAAAATGAAATAAAAAAAACCATCAACCAATGAAAGAATCCCTAGACCATAAGTAAAAACAAGCCTCCTTTGAGAAGAACTGCATGACGAATTGCAAGTGCTTACAAAAAAATACAGTATGCATACAACTTCTCCAGAACTATTACAATTAACATATTTTAGTTAGTACCAATTAAAAAAAAAAAAAAAGGAACAAATGCCTGAGCTTCTAAGCAGGAATAACTAATGAAGATTTAAATTTTGCTGCAATTTCATTATTGCTTTGGAACAGACAGTGCTTGAGTCACATGAATAACAGCCACTCTTCCAATGCATACAAACACATCATAATATCTAGCTTGAAAAACATCCTCCAGCAATTCACAGCAGAAATCATTCTATACTTCCTGTTAAAAACAATCCAGATTTGACAGAACTGCGGTGCAATAGGGCACAAGTGGCAGAGTATAGGCATGAATGGCAGAAACACTGGAGAGTAACAAACTCAGACTCATACTCACTACTTCTTATTCCGAGGCTTTAACTCTTCTGCTGCATTTCGCAGAAAAATGTAGTTTTTCTTTTGTGGATTATAAAATTCATGACCCTAAAAAAGAAAAATCAGCTCTATTTACTCTCTTCAATGGAGACAATATCAACATTATCTTAAAATACAAAAATATGAATATCCCATTAGTTTCATATTAGTAAGATTCACTCGCGGTCTTTCAGGTCAGATATCAGACATTACTGAGTTATAAACAGTTTACCAGCTAAGTAATTACAAGAATTGTGTAGGACTACTGAAGTCTGATGCACAACTTGAAGCTTATCAAATCTAATACGTAGGAACAGTTACAGAAAGCAAACTTAGTATCTATCTATCTAACAGATCTGAAAGATACTTTGGTACATACATACCATTGCAGTCTACCTGAGTATTTAGAGCAGAAGAATTCATCTGCCCCTGTCTAACAAAGTCATTTTACTTTGGACAGCATTCCTAAGATTAGATACAACATAGGAAATCACAATCTTATTCTCTCTGTGGCATGAGACAGAATTGATGTGTTATTTCTGCACTCAAGTTGAAAATACAATGAATGTCATGAATGAATCTTCAAATTTAAGAGTATAACAGGAAACAAATACTTTCCCACTGTAATTCCATTAAAATTCAGTTGTATTTCAACTGTCCCCTTCATAAACTATACAGAAGAACTGATCCTCCACCTCATTGTTTTTTGATACTCTTGCACCTAGATAAATTCTTGTTGAGTCAAATCTAGAAGGTATATAGGTAAGTGAGTGCCACCAGCAAGCAGCACTTTTTTCTGGAAATACAGTAGATACCATTGAAACACTGTTATAAGTGTCTATAAACACTTATAAGTGACAGCTTAACAGAAAGAAAAAATAATCATCTTCATGACAAATAGAGATTTCAAAGATTAGTGAGAACTTCTGAGTGTGCAATGTGCACCACGACCACTTCCACAGCAGAACACATGTGAGCAACCAGCACGGTTTCTAACCACATTGCTTATATACTGTTCATCCACATTTGCAAAACAGCAGTGCTTACCAATCTTACCAACTGAAGCTAAAAGCCATAGTGAAGAACACACTGCTCCAGTGTTAGAATTCATTATTTTTCTGCCTAATATGACCAATGTAAGTTTTCTTCATGCCTATGAAGCTAGGAATTCTCTATCACTACCTACAGAAATCAGTAAAAGGCTCCTGTGATAGGATAACTGTCTTAGTCATTACGTACAAGAGTGAATACGGGTTGAAACCTTTCTTACCTTTGACCAATCATAACTGGAAGCATATGCAAATATATTCCCATTATGGTTGAAACAACAAGCAGATATTGGTTGGTCAAGTTGTTCTGATGTTTTTAGCTTTGTTCGTGCATCTTTATCCCAAAAGCTGAATCTACCATCAGATCCCACTGTTGCAAGAGTGCCATGGACAGGATGGAATGCTATTCCATTTACCTGCAGAATCACACAGAATACTACGTAAGACAGCACAGTCATACACAGATGATTGGAATAAAACACATGCTGAATCCCAAGAGTAAATACAGGAGAAAAGGGTTTTTGCAACTATAGATACATCTTGTTTTTTGAAGTGTTTTACTAGATACATTTTTGAAACTAGACACTGGAGCAACAAGGGAAGCATCTTTATTGTAGCAGCTAAATATTAAATGAGTAATGCTTAGTATATTGTGTAGTGGCATTGGCTCAAAATCAGCAATAACAGCAAGATTAACAAATTTTATCTCCACCAAAAGGATGAAATGAATAGTTAGTCCGACTTGTGTTTTAAAGAAAGTGCAAAAAATTGCTTTTCCTCAATGCATGTCAATGACTGCACTTTAAGCACAGAGCCTAACACAACTTTTACCTGAAGCTGGAAAAGAATTGATAGTTCATAGCAGGTTTTACATTAAGAACTTATGTTGTTTTCCTACACAAATAACCTAGTGATACAAGCTCAGTACTTACAGCATAGATATCCTGAGGTGCTGATGTGTTTGTTCCATTGGAGCGATGACATTTGAAAGTGAAATTATCTTTTGCACTGGGGAAAAAAAACCATACATCTCTTATGTTCTTCGCTGTAAACTGAGAAATAAATTAAGAATGATTTAACAAGCAATACTCACGGATTTGGAGGGTTGATATAATGAATAGCTACTCTTCCTTCAATACTTCCAAGGGCAAATCCAGTAGGTTTGTTCACTTTGTCTTTAAAAATAGCAACGCAGCGATGCTAGATTTGAGAAAGAGAGTATTTTAGATAGAAACTTAAGGGCCAGGTCTTCTGAATGCTGCTCTGCATAGGGACACAGAATGCTCCATATAACGAGGCAAAGTAAAGCACACAAAAGATCGAGAGATATGGCCCAAATTCTCAATAGAATTTGACCTATTATTTACATTAGTAAACCTTTATCAAAATTAGCAATAGAAATTTCCTCAGGAGAGAAAAGTCCATATACTTAACTATAATAATAGTTAACTACTCTAGAACATTATAAAGTCTAGACAATCTCAATTTAAAAGACCTCTCAAATGTCCATTTCTACAGTGCTGCAATACCTGATATTAATGAAATATTTGCAGTCCCACCTCCTTGGAATAAATGCCATTATCATTCTTATATTCTATAACCATTTGCTAAGTTTCAAATAATCAGAAAGAAACAAAGTCTGAGTTTCAGGACACTCAATAGCAGGCTACCTTCCAAACCCTCTCATAGAAGCCCCACATAGAACAGATCTGCAGGACACAATAAACCTCAATTTAAATGCTGTACATACAGGTAAATTTACATACAGCAGTAATAACTTTGTGATTCTTCTGTAAAATGCAAGTTTTTTGTCATTTCTTATTTCTATAAAGAATACTTCTGAAATTATTTGTACTTCACATATAGTAGCTTCAGATATGGAAAGCTGGATGAAGGAGGAAGGAAAAAGGTAAAACACCTTCTGTTCAAAACACTTCTGTTGAACTCAAAGAGCATTCCAAGAAGTTCCTTTCAGTCCGTCACAGGGAGGAAACAGACTCCAAGACACAGGAGGTGGCAATTTATTTTAATATACCACCATAATAAACATCAAAGTAGGACAGGTACCATACCAAAGGAAAGTACTCCACCTTTGAAATTTTTTTTTTTTTTTTTTTTTTAAATCAAGAACAACAAGTACATAATTTCAACAATCTGTACAAATGCACCTGTATCAAATATAACTCTTTACCTGGTGTTTAAGAGGTGATTCTATTCTTCTAAATTCAGATGGCTGGTTCTCTAACTGATAAACTATCAAACCCCTTTCTGCGGTGGCCACAGCAGCCATAGGATGAACCTAGATGAGTTATAAAACAGGTTGGAAGAGAGGCAGTGGTGTTCATAGCATGACAGAGAACTCTACTTATTATTTCACAGAAATCCCTGAAGAATTTTACAGCGCCAGACTTCTTTTTGGGGAGGTAGGAAGAAAAGAGTTCACCTGTAGGCAAATCTTCCAACAAATCAGCTCTCCACTGCCACTGAGAACCAAACAAAAACCCCCTCGTTATTAGATGACCCTTCCAATGTGAACTCCAGCAGTGGTTGGAATTCAAATAAAGGAAGGCCAGTCCTGCTGCTGGTTTGCCTTTGGGATGTTACAAGCATACCAAGCCTACTTAGTATGATGCAAATATCTATTTTCCAGAGGTTCGATCAAGAACATCAACATCACTTAGTGTTATCACTAAGATCAGAGATCAAATACTAACAGTGAACACTCAGTGTGTGCCTATAAAAGCCCCAGAGAAAGCCACTGCACTCATCCCCCCAGCCATCCAGCTGACTCTTAGTCTACTGCACATCAAGGCTCACCACATCTGCACAGTAACATCTTTCAGGGAGCTGCAGTGTCATCATAGGTGTTGGTGAACGGGTATCCCAGAACTGATGGAAAGAAAACAAAACAAACAGAGGCTCACAGTTGAGCAAATAGTACCAAGCTGATTCATTCTTGTCAGACACTACAACTCTCTATGAAGTGAAGTTACTACATTGATCTGTTCTTGAATCAGCGTGTTTAAGAAAATATTTTCACTCTGATAAATATTGCCATAAACAGATTGTTAGCACACTCTGCACCCACTTGTTTGGGTAAAAGTTGTACCTTCAAAGTTTTATCCCAGCTTCCTGTCATCACACAGCTGTAATTGGGTGCTTTAATCCAATGGATGGTCTTCACAGGAGCTTCATGCTGAAGAAAATAAAAAAGAAAAAACACACACTAGGGCAACAACCCACGGTTCTTATTTATCTCCTCATATTTTTATGTGTTTACACTTTTTAAACCATTCAAGAAAATCTCTCTCATATTAGTATCTACTTTAGAGGCACTAAACATTAGCATACTTAGCTAACAAAGGTAGCTTTTAATAAAAAAAAAGAAAAAAAACTACACAATAGCATGGGACTTACTTGTGCAATCTGAATAGCCTGATTACTGTTGAGATCCCACATTTTGGCAGTTTTATCACAGGAAGCAGTAAATACTTTACTTCCATCCTGAAAAACAAGAGAAAGTCCAAGAGAAAAAATATCAGCATCAGAATGTCTTACTCTGTTCCGTAATATAACAGTAATGTAACACATACAGGCATTGCAAGACAAACAGAAGAAACAAAAAGAGAAAAGAAGAAACGAAGTGGAAATTTCTTCATGAGTCTGTGTAACAGTGGCACACTTAGCAATGCCACTTTCAACTTGGAAACAGGCATTCCTCCATGCCTGCCCATTACTGTTTCTTCACACTTAATATATTAGTAACAAAGATAAGGCCCCAACAAACAGTGACTATTTGCTCCAATATATGGAAAAAAATATTCAGTGTCTAGCTAAAAGCTTTTCAGTGGAAGGGGGGGAGGGTAAGGGTAGTTGATTTGGGCACATTTTTTTCTGTTGTACTCTGGACCGTTACATCAACAATACTGATAACAGCCTTTAAACATTCTGCTAGTCAAATCATCACTAGCCCATTTGTGTCCCTTTGCGGTAAACATGCTTCAGCAGAAGGCCGTGGGGTTGGCGAAATGTTCACAAAAATACATTCTGTATTGTGAAATATAAACAACACACAATGGAATCTCGGCTTAAAATACAGCAGCTTTGGATTTAAGGTTCTCCATTCAAGGCCTTTTCCAAATTTTTTTTAAGCCCAAACCTAGGTTTAAATACACTCTCACTTTTAAACACACTTTTACCCTCTTATCTGTCCATTTCAGCCTCTTCTATTAGAGCATGCTCAGCACACAATCACAGTAACAGAAACATATACAGTAATCATGGGATGCATCTACATCTACACTCATGTTCCCAGAAAATACGTGCCAATTTATCTAGGCTTACAATTAAATGTCACTGTTTAAACTGAAACATACATCACTCCAGCAGCCATCCAGTACAGGTCCTGTGTGCATCTGCTGAGCCTTTGGAATCGTCTGTCCGTTATCCTGAACTTCCCAGCAGCGAACCTGGAACAGGAGACACATATACAGATGTAAGACTACAAAGTGAAAAGAATTCTCATCTTGAAGATGCTTAACTGTCAGCTAGGAGTAAGCTGTTGCAGGCCACCAGCCACCAGCCCAAGAAGAACAGTTAAAACCTAGCATTTCAGTCCTACTCTCTCTTTGTGTTGGTTGGGAATACACACTCCAATCCCAACAGAAATTTCAGTAAGATTATAAGACCTCATCTTTTTGAGATGAACCTGCCAAACCAGCTAAGATTTATCTGCATTCATGGCTCTTCCACAGGGCAAAGTATGATAGTCTAATTACAGAAGAAAATGAATCTTAAAAAAGTCAAAATAACAAAAACCCAAAAGAAGAAACACTAATTACATGTTCTGAGCTGAAACTTAAAAGCCATAAGGAGAGGAATGACTAACATGAGCTCACAACTCAATCTCCCAGCTGAAGCTGCCGTGTCAAAGTACGCATTGCCAAGGCATTAAGATACACATTTTGCAATGGAAGAGGAAGACTTCCAGCTCCATGGCATAAGCTCTAAGGACCACATTTTGCACTGTAGGCACTGATGCTTTCACTTTATTCATCTGTAAGCCTGACTGTGGGTACTCACATCGTTTGCCCACGATCCTGCAATAAGGAAATTGCCCGGCAGTGTTGGTGGACTGAACGCTAAGCAAGATATGCTGTCATCGGGCGGAGATGTTACTTCAATATCCTATAAGAAAACAAAAGACACCATAAGATTAGCCTCATTTGAGAACCGTGACACGGAAACCTTTACCTCTGTGGGGTCGGTGGGGGGCAGCGCTGCGGGCACACAGCACACAGAGTACGGCTTCCACGGGGCTCACACACGCGCCTTCATCGGGTTGTGGTTATCCGCAGTCGTGCTGCCGAACATGCTGGTACCGCCGGTACCGAACCCGGACGTGGAGCCGAACAGACTCATCCTCGCTCTGCGAACAAGAAAGCGGCCCACAAGAAAGTGAGAAGCGGAGGAGACACCAGGGGGACAAGGCAGTACCACATCCCGAGAGACCCCGCCCCGCGGTGCCACAGAAAGCCCGCTATTTCCGGCAGACCCCCGCGCTGACGGCCGCCCAGCCCCGGCTCCCGGCTCCCGGCCCCAGCCGCGCTGTGCCTACGGGCCGGCCGACGCCGAGGCCAGCACCGCGGGCAGGCGGGGCAGCGCCATGCCAAGGGATCCGCCGCGCTGCCGGCGGCGCGGAGGACGGGCCGGCGACGGGACCGGCGCGGGGCGCGACCGTTTGGGAGCCCACCGGAACCGACGCGAGGCCGCTCGAGCGCTCCGGGCGCCGCCCGGCCCCGGCCCCCACTCACCGCACGGCTCGCCGCACACCGCACACCCGCACCACGGCCCGGCGGAGCGCTGCGCGCGGGGCAGGCCGCGCCTCACTGCGCAGGCGCCGCTCGCAGCGGGGCGGGGGTGGCGCATGCGCAGTGGCGGCGGGGCGAGCGCTCCTTCGGGCTCGTAGTGCTGCGCGGAGCGGCGCAGCAAAAGCTATTGGGTTCCTTTTTAATTTGGTAGGAAAAAGAAAAGTCTGCCGAAAATACGTGCGTCGGTTTTGGCTGCGCATCGATTTTGGAAGCGTTTCCTATGCAGTCAATTTCGTTTCTTCATATAAAGTTAATTACACGCTTTAATCACTGCCGTTTCCGGCTCCTTTTTACCGTTTCGGAGCCAAGTGAAGAAAATGAACGAGGGATTTTGTTGTGACGTGCACCATTAACGAGATTGCTTATTAGGCTCTTAATGAACAACACCTGGTGGTGCTCGCTCACTCCAAACACATAACGGTTGGGTCGCTGGAACGTTTGCAGCGGTTCGGATGAAGCGCTGCTGTGAGCTGCCAGCCCGAGCGCACGCAGAACGCAGAGCAGCGCAGTGCTGGGCTGCCGGTGTTTCCCCAAGGAGGTGCTTACAACAAGTCGCCAACAAATCCTTTACTCTGCAGAAATAGAAAAGTGTGCACAGCATCGTCTGCTGCTTTAAGGCAGAAGACAAAACAATTCCTCGATACGATCCTAACTGCCATCTGTAACAACGTTCCCTGGTGGAAGGGACACATTTGTGTCCTGCTATGGCCGTGGCACTGCTTGCAGAGTCGCTGCAGTGCAAAAGGCACGGAGTGGAACAAACTGTGCTCTGTAAAAGAGCTGTGATTCCTTTTACAGCTTGAAATAGAAAGAAGAGACAATCCTAATCTAGTTACAGTAAGCTGAGCAAGATGCTGATACACACTCCTTTGCTTCTCTGTTTTTCTCTTAGTCAAGAAACCAAATCAATATGAAGAAAAACATCCCATTTGCAAATAGGCATTCATATCCATCCACAAAATTGCAATTTGTTTGGTAAATACACTCTGGAAAGATAATCTGATGAAAGAGAAGTTAGAACTTGGATTTCAGCCTTCATTTTGGATGCTGCCATAATTTCCAGCTAAAAGAAAGAAAAAAGGAACTAATTAATATGCGATGCTGTAACAGCCAGACCCAGACCCAGGGGTAGATGTGGACTTTCTCAATCGTGCCCTTTTTTACTGTTGCAAAACCTTTCTGCTATACTGAGAGTTTATAAGAATAAGAAGGAACAGGACTGCAGGTGATAGGATTTGCCCCGTGGAAGTAAGAAATAGGAGATAGGTTTGTACATACTTCTTTTTTCCACACTGGCTGACAAGCAATGTAAGGTCTCTTTTGTAGACTTGCTAACTTGTTTTGATCTTGCTTTGTAAATGGGATCAGGACATCTTCCCTTATGTTTAATCTGAAAAGTAAATAAAGTTATTACATTTTCTCATATATTTCAGAAATACTGATTTCAAGTTACTTCTTTATAAGCTAGAATAATGGATGAAAACAGCAAACAATACTGGATTAAAGTGTTGCATGTTGGTTTTGGTTTTGTTATTGTGGCTTTGTTTGTTTGATGAATTTAATCAGATTTTATTTACTGTCTATGAAAAAGACTTTCATTCCTTCTGGGAAATAACTGACCTCTTGATATCAGACGGAAGGAGACCAAGCCACTTTATGCATGGAACAGTGAGCTGGTGAGCCTCAAAAGACATTGACTAGAATAAGAAAAGCCAACTTTTAGTTAAATCCTTTGAGATAGAAGCGTTTTTTGGCTACAGCCAGGTTGCATTACAAGTTCACTATCAGAACTTTAGAGGAGGAAATAGTGCATCTGGAACTTACCATACCCCATTACTGAGAACAGTTTCTCTTTTATGGCTTGCCACCTTTGGCCATGAAAGATTCTAGATTGGTCCATTCTGTTCTTTTTATCTTGATGTTTTTGTTTGTTTGCTTGCAAAAGTTTGATTGCCAATCAAAACTGAAGCCAGGAGCAGCAGTGACAACTACAATTGGAAATTCCTGATATTCCTGCTACAAGCACCACACTACATATAATCAGTGAATTTCACTGTGTAAGATTATCAGAAATCCGATAATCTAGTTTAATCTTGGAAGATGCTGTTCTATCAGTTTATGCATATTTCTGGCAGAGCTAAAATCCTGGCAGATCACCTGAAAACACGAGTTCTGTCTCCACACAGGTCCCTGAGGCATGTGTTATGACATATACTTGAGCCTGGAATCAGCCATGACTGTTTCCAGAAGGTGGGGTTTGTTTCTTTGTTTGTTTTCTTTAGATGTTCTTCCTCCATTTCCCTAGCAAACTGTTTCTGCTCTCTGCTACCTGCCTGCCTTCCATATTGTCTTTCTGGACCTATTTTTTTAGTGATGTACTAGAGTGCCCCTACTTGTTACCCTTGCCTCTTCCTCCATAATATTCCACACTAAAATATGTATCCAAACACAAATTCTCACCCCAAACCAAAACCTTTACCAACACAACACGATTCTTTGGAGGACCATGCTGTTCACCTATCTCACAAGTTATGTCCTTTTCCTCCCCAGCTTCTTCCAGCCATCATTTGTCTTTATGGCAGAAACAAAGCAAAATGGAAAATGCTTTTCTATTTGGATTTCCTGAAAACTGCCTGCGTAGCAAGAAGAAACTGAGATACAGTTAAATGAAACACCTGACATTGTTATCCAATTTCTTTTTGTTACAGGAAGAAGCTCTTCTTGCAGATACACAAGGCCTAAAAACGGTGCCTGTGTTCAAAGAAAATAAGAAGGGGCAGTAACCATTCTAACTCATTGTGCATCCAAACTTCAAGGCTGAACTACAGATCAATATATTTGAATGGAAAATGATACTCACCACAGATCCATATTTGTAGATACACATTATTTCCACACCTAGGTTCAAGAATACCAATTGTCAAGTATCTGTTATCTTCACAGTGGGAATGCTTATGAAGACTGCATTAACAATTCACTTCTCTGGCATAACAGTGCAAAATGAGAATCAAGGTAAATCTTGCTTTCTTCTTCTGTTACAGAACCTCTACAGACTTACCATGTGGATCTGCGTCCACAAGGGTGAAAATGGGAATTTGAAATGTATCCCAGAGCTTTCTGACCAGAAGTCGTGTATTAAGATCTGGTATACCTCTTCCCTAAGGAAACAAAATAAAGCAGACAGATTTAAATTAATTAAAACAACAGCAAATATCTGGCAACATATATGCTTACATTTGCCAATTAAAACGTGCAGACAAAACGTCTGCAGGAAAATTTCTCCAATAGGTGTTAAGCATTAGAAGAAAAAGGCTGCTTTTTTTCCCTCTCAAAAGTATTTGTAGCACTAAAGAAACAATGTAAAACAAGGTCTATACGGTGTGCTACAGAGTATAAGTGCTTGTCTGTCTGTCTTAGATAGGGGCATAAGCTTCTTTCTCCTGTGGGCCTCTTTGTCCCAGAACAGGTAGGTGTGGATATTTACACATCCCTCCAGTTCTTAATTAACTAATGAATTAATTAATTGTGCAAGCTCCATAATTCTTTCAATAAAACCCCAAAATCAAACAGTTTTATTTCACTTGAGCTTGCTAAGTTCAGGATCCTGGAGGACAACAGCAGGGGCCTTGTGTGACTTTGCAGCACCCAGATGAGTCTGATAAGCTACCAGGCTCTGAGAGGATGGTTGGAGGAAATAAGTCTTTACAATGTTCATTTTGTGTTGTCATTACCAGTATAATAAAACAGTGCAAAGATGCTAAGATACACTGTTTTATTACTGTCTTTTGGCCAAGTTTGAACACGTTATGATGCTGAGGTATCTTGTAAATTCTGATGTCTAACTGAGCAATACAAAATGTAAACTGCATACCGTAATCATTATACATGGGGCCAGTTTAATGCAGAACTCATCATCCAGCAGTCTCTGAAAAGTTGCATCTTTTTCTACAATTAATATAAATTTGGCATGTGAGTATAGATCTTTTATGTTAAGGCTACCTGCATGTAAAACAATCCATCACAGCAATCCATTCAATCTGAATGTAATAAAATACTTATTCTGGAGCCAAAAGCAGCTCATGACTCAACTTCAGAGCCAACAGGCAGAGAAAAAATTACCAGAACATTGTTTAACTTGGAATATTTTTTGTTTTTACTTTATTTTTTCAGTTCACACTGAGAGTTTCTGCTCAAAGGATACTTTTAATTCCTTGAACGTTAGATGGCACGGTGACCGCCTAAAACAACAAAAACAAAACCAATAATTTATGATAGAGAAAATGATATGTTTTAAAATAACAGCATTAGGTAATGAAGGACACCATTACATCCTAAAACAACCATTCATCTCCTAATATACGAGATCAATCTTGACATTTTCACCGCTTTATAAGTACATTCAACCTTTCATATCCTGCTCTGTTGCACGCTTTTCTGAAGTGCATCTGTGCTACTGTCACAGAAGATCATTTCTTTGTATGGGTTTTACAGAGAAAACAATGTCCTGATTCATTTCGCATCTCTTTTAGCCAGAAGAAAAGTCAGCTCGGTGCCAATTTAAGATTGCAAATTTAATCCAGGTTTAAAGCATTTGGGCTTTCTCTTTGGAAGACCATTTAATCCTTTCTTTTATTAACCTGTAACCTGCTTTTATAAGTATATTGCAGCAACAGTTTAAGGCACAGTAATATTTACTTTACATCTCATATTAGGATTGGGTCAATCTGGCAAGCATATGGGTAACAGAGCAGGAATTGGAGGAAGAACTTGGCAAAAGAATGTGCCTATATTGAAGTGTGTGGTCTGTTTTTATTTCTGACTGCTAAATCACCTCTGGTGCCAACAAATAAAACTATGAAGAGCTGTAGAAGAGTATTAACAACAGGGGTCTTTACACTTTACTTAAAAACAAAGTATGATGGGCAGCTAAAGTAATCTTTCCATTTGGAAGTGACCAGATTAAGCTTACAACGAGCACCTGTGTCAGGAAATCATGACAACAGTCAGCAAGTCACAGTTCTGCTTCCATTTTCATAACCTGAACAGTGATAGCAGTCAGCAATTCCTGGCTGCTTATACAGCTGTGGTTATAAACTGCTCTAGTTAGTTTCTCAGTATCACTTTGATAACATCAGTTGATAATACAAGCCCTTCTAATGCTTGCAAGTCTTGTATTAGTGATATGCTGAGACTAAATATCCTGATGTTATATTCACAGATCTTTGGTTGTACATTGTTGGGCACATGATGAGAATATTATCTCTTATGCTAATAGGGCATTACTATCAAACTTGTGTAAATGAGAACATAGTTTGGGTCCAGAAGTTAATTACTCCTCTTACTATTGTGTCTCAGTATATTCCTTTTCTCTGTGTTGTTGCTACTAAAGAAGTTAGAGAGGGTGAGTGTCAGGTCTGTTTAATAAATGTATGGAGCAACCTGAGCGACATGAAGTGCAGGATATCACACAGAAGTAGTTGATCTATGTAGATCCTTCCAAATGCAACTATTCTATTTATTCTAATTACTGTTACTGTTATTTAATACATACAGTTGCACCACAGCCACAATTCACTTTTGTACCATCTTCCTCAGTGTAACTTAAATTACCAGCAACAAAACCTTTAGTTGTAGACAGCTGAAAAAAATAAGAAGTTGCACTGAGTAAATTGGAAATGACGTGCTTTTATTTTATTGAGTGGGCAAACCAAGAAACTTCTGGAAAACATTCCAACTGGTAACAAGCCACTATCAGCAGCCATCAACTTCTTAAAATGCAAAGCAACATTGTTGATACCATGGATATAAAGGTGGATTTACAATAAATTACAGAAACAACTGCATTTGTGTATACAAAATAATTCTTGTAAAGCATTAGATACAGGAAATTCAGAAGGCTGTATGTCTGACTCACTTGAAACTAACACTTAAACCCCACACTTGCTAGTCATCTCAGTATAAACTGCAAAGCAGATGCCTTGCACTCTGCACTGCTTCCCAGGTAATAGCAAAAGGCTTTGTGATTTTGGCTAGCACTTTGTGCCACTCTTGGAAGCAAGCAAACTGTATGAATTTTCTCTGAAAACAGGAACCTTTCAAATGTTATGGTAGAACTTAATCAGGTTTCATTGACATTTCAGCTTCACACACTATCCATATGATTTGGAAATGATTACAGAATAAAAGCAGTAATCAGAAGCCACTTACAATATGCAGACTTCTTCGAGGTATCTGAAGCATGCAAGAGATTTCATTGATTAAATCATCCACAACTCTCTGGCTACCAAACAGGAGTGTATCTGAGTAGTATATATCTCTGTCAAGACAAAAACATGTACTTGTAATTACAATAGTAATTACTATATTGAAAAAGCTAACGGGTTGTCAGAATACAGAGTAACACTCAGCTGAAGGCATGGATAATCAAACCACTATAAAGCATTTCCCACAGAGAAATCTGTTATCTGAAAGATTTGCATCCCTCACTGCTTCCCCAACAGTGTTCTTAAAATAGAGCTGCATTTGAAGTTACAGAAATGTCACATTACCTTTTAGTTGCATACGAATTGCTCTGCACCATCTTATAGATCATAGATAATATTTTGAGCATCATAGCTGAAAAAATGCATTACAAATTTATTTTTGTCAATGTTCAGAAATGCACATGCAATCATTTGTATTTATGTTGACCAGTATCTGTGTCTCATACAATAAAACAGTGAAGCATGAACGCGATTTGTGCACGTATTTTAACATGGTGTGAAATACTGAGAGATGGCACCAGTCAGTACTCAGTAATTCCTAGCAGTAAAAAAAAGTGCGTATAATGGATCTGAGTGAGGGAACACATGTCCTGCTGTCCAGATGCCTGATCTGGAAAAGTAAAGTGGCTTATTGTCTGTACTCCAAGATTCCTTTCCCAGCTGGCTTTTTGGAGGAGGGTGATGCTTTTACTTGTAGACTTTGCGGATATGCCTCAATCTGACATTCAGTCAGGCAGATAGAAACTGTAAGAACACTATAATGCAATAGAGAAAAGCTGAAGGGCTTTTCATTAATATCAGTTTTATGAGTCTTCTAGCACACAGGGCATAAATTATTTCTCTTACAAAGTTTCAAACTAAAACACAACGAAAAAGAATTCAACACAACGAAAAAGAATTCAACTTTGGAACTTACCAAACTTTGGTGCTGTTGCAGGGCAGTCACTTCTGATTTGTTTTGTAGTAGAATGTGGTATCATTTGGAGACCTACAGAATCTTTAAATCTGACATATGGCAAACAAATGCAATAAAACTGTCAACTTACAAGTAAGGATATGTAAATGATTTTATCCAAGATTACTCAGACTGAGAGCCCTCTCCTAAAGTCAAAGATGCTTGTTCTATTTTCAGACATGATAGACTAGCAGCAAACAAATAAAGAAAGGAAAAAAAAATGTGATTAATTATTAGTATACACTTCAAGTCTAACATGCAATAACTTTCTGATGTACAGTATATGAGAAAGTGTAATTATTTGATTTTACAATTGTATGGTCTAATTTGTGCCCTTAAATTATTATCAGAATAACTCAACTCGATTTCATCCTTGGAACTTTTGGAAAGAAAAATGTGGGGCACCCTATTCTCTGAACAGCTGTCCCATATGAATGATCTGCACCATTTCATTTCGTATCTGATAGTACACATTTCACCAAAAGAGAATGTTTTCTTAGCAGCATTGTAGTGCCCTCAGGTATGACAGCCTGTCAGTACATCACTTGTGTCCACTTTAGAACTCTGCATGTACTTTTTAAAAGCACTGATGGTGAAGTGACCATCATTTTATACAACACCACATCAAGTTTCTCTAAGCCTTTCTTTGCTCCTCGCATCCTTTGGGTGGCAGAGCACAACCAGTGCTGCAGCAGCTCCCAGCTGCTCGGCAGTCACAGTCCTGCAGTGTGTTGCAGCACTGAGAAGGCTGTGCGCTTTTCACTGCCTGCTGCCTGCATCGGATCTGCACAGAGCAGCAGTCACCTCTATGCTCCACTAAGGTCAGTAAGAACACTTCTTTTAGAGAACAGTCTGCCTAAGAACCAGCCCCACAGCCCTCACAGATGGCTCACAAGAAAGGGTCAGCCTAGCTTGACAGCCAGCACCCAGCTATCCTTCCTGGCCTTGCACAGGTCCCTACAGAGTAACTTTCTATAAAGCACACATCCTGCTTTAGGCCTGGCATCCTCATGGGTTGACCTCCTTCCCAGGTAAATCTCCCTCTGGGTACCTACAAAAGTTTTCACTCAATGGAATGCCTATGCAAGATTCCATTCCTCCACCATAAATAATGGTTCAGCTTTTTAAATTTGATTGATGTGTCTTATTTTTAACAAACTGTGATATTGTTTTCATTTGAATGTTTTCCCTCTATGTGTTCTAATGGCAAATTACACCCCACATTTGTTTTCCTAGCCCAGAATGGCCGTTCCCCTGACAAAGATGGCAAAACTTTGTTATAATATTTTCATTTTACAGCCATTGAAGTAAAACATTTGTTGTCAAGCCATCAGGACACCAACCATTGCATTCACTGGGGCATACAAGCATTTCAGTTAGCTAATTACCTTTGGGACCTTCACTTCTTTGATTGACAGAAATTTATTGTGCTCATTAAGTGAGTATTCCACTGAGGTGCTATGCATGGAAGGTCTGCTATGCTTTCTCAACCTCCAGTGTTCGTAACGTGTCCACTTACAAGGACCTCTGCAGCCATATTGATCTAAATATCCTTTAGCTCATGGGTGCCCAAAGCTCTTATAAGATAAGGAACAGATCCATGCCTTCCTTTATCCTTTTGCTTTCATGCTATAAAAAGTAATGGATTTCTCATTCTCAGTTGAAATTCATGCCTTGGAAAAGTACTGTTGCATGGACTTCTACAAAGCTGTGATATAAAGGACAGTTGTTCTTTCTCTGCTCCTGCCTGGGTAAGCTGGCATGAGATCTAAAATTTAGATAGCATTGCAAATCCAGTTTTACTTTATTTGGCAAATAATGGGCTTAAGATGGTGTATGGACACAGCATGGAAGTAAGAGAATGGTAAGAGCTGGCAATTATCTTCTTTGAAGGATAAAAGGAGGACAAGCTTATTGCTTCATTTGAAGAAATAAGATATCATGAGGAAAAGCAGAGAAAAAGAAAAGAGAAAGCACTGCAAATGGATTGGTAAATAAAATTGCGAGTGTTTCCAGCCTAAAAATTTTGCTTTTTTATTTATTTATTTATTTATTTTAATCAAACACAACATACTATTTCTGTTTTCTACTGCATCTAGAAAATATATGGTTATAGGACCTCTTTTCTTTCTCATTCTTTTTACAGAAGTTTTGCATTCTCCTTTATGCTATGGCCTGCTCTAGTTAATGCTCATGTGTCACTCATGTGTCTTTGTTCAGTAGTTTTTCAAGAAGTTGAATTACTTACTGATTCTGATAGAACTACATCAGTTCAACTTTTGTGGAAGTTATAAAATCATTGTATTTGTGGCATATATATATATTCATATAAGGCAAGACTTCAAAACACTGTACTTACTCTACATTCCTCCAATCTGATCTATTAGCCAGTGTGAGAACAGGTGCTTGTTTTTTGGCCAAACTTTTAAACACATCTAGAATAACATTTTCTATTGCTTCAAGAACTTCAGAACTGAAAGAAAGAAAACAATTAAGCAGTTCATATAATTTAACGTAGTTCTACTTTGCATTTTGATCATCTATCCTCATCCTTCCGGAAATCATTTAATTCAAAACTGCTTCAGGCATGCATACATACACACACACACACATATATATGTATTTGTATATATACACATTTCAAAACCTTCTTTGTTTTTGCATGTCCTTCTCATTAGTTTCCATGTAAGATTTGACTTTCCATTCCAGATTCAGAACTGAGAGCACAATTAAAAGTACATTTCTATTCAACCCTAAAACCAGTGGATTTTTCACCAGCTGAGCTTTCAGAGCAGCTGGCTGGTTTCTGATTCATGATTAATGTTTTACTTCAAATGATGTAATATTGGCCTTGGCTGTGATTTGTGCTAAGTTGTTTTTAAATGCTGTAAATTTAGAAAAAAAGTTCAACAGAACAAATACTTCCTGTTGTACCACTGCACATTAACCTTTTGATCTGTTGCCCTAAACAAACTGTTAAGGGTTTTAATTATACGAAGGCTTGGTCTCAACAGATGCAAAGAACAGAACCTGCATCTTTCACCTAAAAAGACCAAGTAACTTTGCAAGCAGATGCATTACATCCAAACTTTAGGTTGCTCTGAGTGTTATGACAGATGCTCTTTATTTTCATAAGCAATCTGACACCAACATTTCAGCTGTCCTTAACATTACAACTCTGTAATATGCCATCGTAAGTATAGGTGGATTGAAGAGTAGAAAACCAAAAACAACAAACAGAAACTTACATTAGCACAAAGATGTATCAGCAAAGACCTATTTTGTCATTAAGTAACACACAAAGAGAGTAGTGTAGACCACACTGAATGAAATATCCTACCGTTATAAAATCAGTAAGAATGTTTTAAACCTTGCTGTGACTGTCCCTAAACAACAATGAGGTGTCATTAAAGTTCTCTTCTGTCATCTGAACACATTTCTTCCACTTTGTAACTCAACTTGCACTTCCTCATTGTTTTGCTAAAACAAGATTCTCATTCTTTGGGAACAATTTCTGGGAAGTATTAATCTTTTCTTTTAAATTAGTCATCTTAGTATCTCTATATAACACAAACCTACTAGTAGGACTATTTTTTTTTTTGTCCATTAAGATTAAATTTGATCACAGAGAGACAAGATTTCCTGACTTCCAGACTCATGGTCTGTTCCTTCAATGTAACATCCTACGTATTGCACACCATCCAAAAGAGCAGTTCTATAAAGTAGAGAGGAAATGGTCAGCTGGTGAGCTAAACATGTAACGCAGTGAATGGTGACAGCAAAATAGATCAGCAGTGCTGGCTAAGGTACAGAGCAAGTTAACAAAAACTAGAGTTGAAGATAACAAAAATATGTATAAGCAGATGGATGAATGAACGGTTGGGTTGGTGGTAAATCTAAGCCACGTCATTGTTCTGATTCTTGTAAGTATTTTACATATTCATTTGGTTCTGTTCACTGTAACTGTCCGAATATTCCACATGCACTTCATGAATGTGAAAGCCCAGGCTGCTGTTCCCACCCGTTTCCTCAGTGCTTGGCCAACACAAGCTATAACTGCGACAAAAAAGGAAGAAGAGGACAGCAATTCTATTTGTACCGCTTGCTGATATTCCACCTCTCTTTGCAGAGATAAACTGAATTTCCATAAGCAAACATGCAGTGCTGGCCAAATATGCCTGCATGACATTCCCCATGGTTTAGCTAACACTGGAACGGGGCTGAGGGCAGCAATGTGTCACACAGCATTTCTAAGTGTGAACAGACACCGGCTTCTGTATTGCACAGGCAGTGATCTTCAACATTAGCAGCATATAAGACTCGTTTTATAGCACAGTTAGCAAGCAAGCATAACATAACTACACAGAAACAGTTACCAGTATCTGCACTGTGATAAAGCAATGCACTGCAAGCCCCAGAGCTGCAAACTGAACGCTAGAACCACGCATTCCCCATGCCCTGCCACAGAGACCAAGAGCTCTCCAAGTCAAATATTATGATTATTATCCTTTTCCTCTTAAGATACCCCTGAGATGCTCCCTGTCTGTTATATCGTGATGGTACTCAATGTGCTTGTTGTCACTGCTTTCTGCACTGCTGTCCATACCCACAAACTTGCTGGGAAGTCTGAGGAAACCCAGCTGTGCTGGGACAGTGTGAGAGCTGCTCCTTCCCGTGTTACAGCAGCAGAGTGTTCTGCACTTTTGCACAAGCACTGCCAACTTAACTCCTACCATGGAAAGAGCACAAGTGCAGCATTTCCCAGCTGTTACCTGGGGACGTGGCTGCCATGAGCTGATGCTCTGGTTTCCTTGGACCCATCCTCGTGCCCAGCCAGCGCCTCAGCACCGCACGCCTCCATGGCGGGCACTGCACACCCAACGTCTCTGGAAGGGTTGGAGCTGTTTTAAAGAGACTGCCAGATTAGAAAAGGCTATTTTGGGACATAAAGGGAAACAGTAGGGGTAACCATCCAGGGAAAGCAGAAATTTGCTGCAGAGCTTCAGTTGAAGAATGGCTTTTCCTGACTGACCGAGGACTTTTCCCGCCCTTTCCAAGGGGGGAGTCGGCCCCACCCTTCCCAACGGCCGCAGCCTTTCCCGCCCTGACTGGCTGACTGACCCACAGACTGACTGACCCACAGACTGACTGACCCACTGACCGGCTGGGACTGACTGACTGACCAGGACTGACTGACTGCATTAGCAACTGAAGCCAAAATCGATCTCCAGTTTTGCTGTACCTCAGGAGCTGTTTAAGCAAAGCCCTGCAGCACCCAGATCGCTGCAGGCACTGCAATCAGTGAAACGATTGATCACAAAATGGCGGCATGGCTCGTCAACACTTTTCTCACCCTTCCTGAGCGACCAGTGATTTTTTTTTTTTCCTCCAGCACCAAATGTCTCCTCCTGATAGCTCTCAGTAGCTGGAAGAAAGCTGAAAGCCCCAGTGCCAAGCTGGGAAGTCAGTTTCCTTTCCCTAAATGAAATACAGCTTTATTTAATACTGATTTTATAACTTGTCTTCAGTGCTCAGAAGATTTAGAAAAGAGTTGGAATATGTTTCCGTATTTTTCTCAATGCACTATTAAAAACTTGTGTTCAGAAGAAATACTCAACCTGCAATGCTACGAGCCATGAACTGCTGGCTTCCAAGGAAGCTGAGCTTTAAGGAAAAAAATGCTGAATATTGTTAGACTTTTGGCTGAAATGGGCCATGTGTGATTCATGTGGAACCCTCAGCCAGAGGGCATCACTTCAAAATGGACGGTGCACAGCTAAACCGTGAATTTGAAAAGAAACCCCATGTGTCTTTATTATCTTGGTGCATTTCATACCATTTTTCTTTAGATATTTGCCTCTCTCCTGCCAGAAATTCAGAAGACATCATGAGCTTCAAGAGAAGGTACAGTACTTCTGGGGGAGCAGAACAGCAGAGCAGTGTGTGCCCATCTTCTGCTCAATGGCCAAAGCAGACATGCTGCAGTGCCCAGGATGAACCATATCTGCTCAGTGGTTTATGAACGCAGAGTACAGGGACCCCTCACTGCAGTTCTGCTGTAATGAAAAGCCACATCTGGAGATTTACACAGCTCTTACCTCTACAGCTATGATAGGCCAAGGATTTTAAGCTCCTAACTGTGTCAGAGCAATTGACTGACTGAAAACGGTCATTCTGTGAATATTAGTAGTTACTCAGGAGATAAATATCTTTAAGGCTTGTCCTTTCTGGAGAAAATAGTAGTGAGCTCACCACTGATAACACTGCGTTTTGTGCACAGCAGGCAGTTAGACTGGAAGCTGTGCTGTGCCTAGTTCAGTGCCAGCAGCACTTCAAAAATGGCCATGCTTAGGCTTGTTGTTAGCCAGGTAGACGACACGGGGCATAAAATGTTGGAGACAGCAGGTTTATGCTGTTGCTCCATTGGCTCCTGCCTATGAAGTTTCTTTTCTGGTACTCACGAGAGTAAGCAGTCCAAATCCATCCTGAGTAGGTAATTAAAAGAATCGTGCATTGATTTATCTGAGGAAAGCCCCAGGCTATTAAGATACGAACACAAGATGCTTCAGTTAGCAGAGGCAAGCAGAAGAAAGGGGAAATAATAAATTGAAATTTTCAGTTCTTTCATGTTCAGTCTTTTGGCCTTTAGGTACCTTGAGATCACTCCGGAAATATTTATGTAAAAACTCTGTAGTTCTTTCCAACAATTCAACATCAAAATCAACAGATTTTTGTTTGATGTAGAACTGACAACACAATACCCTGCTCCTAGGGACGGCTTGCAAATAAAGCTATATATCTCTACATGAGAGAAGATAATTTAATGACTTGTCCCTTCCCCATAGCAGCAAACAGCAATTAGAAAAAAAAGCAGGACCAAGATTCTCTGTGCTTACATCAGAATTAACAGAAAAGAAACTAAATATATGTATATAAATATGTATGTATTTGTAAACAAATAAACTAGGATCCAGGTTAATAAATGAAGAACAATCAGTAATAGAACTAGCAGGTTTATTTCCGAAAGCCCTGTTTAATTATTCATTTTCACTCTATAAGCTCTCCTTAATTTTTTTTTTTTAAAGCATTTCAATTATAAATGCAGAATGTATTTTTATGTGTGCTAGAGGGAAAAGGACCAGGAAAACTAATCATAAGCCATTATTACATGTTCAGATGTGAAAAAGAGCAGTATGAGGAATGCAGCTGCATGTGCACTTGGCTTGCTTCTACAGAGATGTGCAGCAGAGGGCACCACAGATGGCACACAGAACTGTGCTGCTTTGAAGCTGTTAAATTCCACCCTGTAATCTCACAGCTTCGATAAAAAAGGTACCATAGATAAGTAAACGTTTGTTTTATAAGACAGCCGTTTACCAATAAGTCCCATCAGACTGCCTATTTTTTATAAACATGTGCTCTTTTCAGAACAGTTGTGAAGGGAGCTCTGCTATGAAATAGTCTATATGAGATGTCTGATGTCGACTCCCAAGAATGTTCTATAACTGCAGAAGAAGAGGCTGTCTGGATAAAAAACTACTGTAGTCAGTACATGCTACAGATAAAAGAGCAACACAGAGCAAAAATGTGCATGTATCTTAGTGCCAAGATATTAAACTGCTTGATAGTAGCTTTTCCTACATAAATCACTGCATCAATAGAATAAATAAACTTATGTTATTTCCTTTTCTTTGTTGTCCTATCAAAAGATGCTTTCTCTTTTTATGTGCAGTTAGTCGCCTACATTCAGTTTACACAATTGCAGTGGTATGTATTTCTCATCAAAGGGTCTGTCCTTACGTCTTCTAGTGGACTGGCTGGCAGACCTGTGGATCTGATAGGTTTATTTAGAGTTAACATCAAATAGCATGGGAAATCCACGCCTAAAACAAAGACAAACTTCTCCAAATTGTAGTGGTTCAGGGCAAGCAGAAGTGTTTGGATCAGCAAAGAGTCTCGAGGAGACATGAAAGCTCAAACACTACAGTGAGAATAGGAAAAACAAAATCCCCACTGGCCATTTAAGAGCTTGTCTTAATGCCTACTATGTTCCAGCTAGCTTCAGTCTCTTGTGCCTCCCTTGGCTGTGGTCTGGACAGTTGCTGGAAGGACGGACATTTTGTGAGCCAGCAGATCTTACTGTGCAAAGTCAGGATGCAACAAGTGCCAGATCTATCATCTGCCAGTTACACTAAAAGTTACTGATCTTCTTCTAATGAGCAAAGCCCGAAGGAAAAAGGGAAAAAAGAGATGAATAGTCATTCTCTGCTAACAGCTAACAACCTCAAATGGGATAGCCCCTTCCAACTAATATGTTTGGGTTTTGAAGAAAAAAAAAAAAGAAAAGAAGAGCTTAGATGTTTTCAGTTTACCTGCTATGGAGGGAGAAACACCTGCAGCAATCTGTTCTGAGAACCAAATCACCATGAAAGCAAGTGGGGTTTTTTGTTACCATCTCTTCCTGTTGTTTTGTTTTTCAGAAGCAAACTCCAGCAGGCCTTTCTTAAAAAGGAAAAGTGATTTTCATCTAACTTCTGTTACAGGGATCCAACACTCTCTTGTGCTTTTAGGAGCAATAATTCATTTTAGGCAGCAGGACAGTTATCTGAGACAAAGAAACACCAAGTGAACTAAATAAAAGAATGTCTTTTCCCAATTCAGCATAAATGCCATGAGAAGTTCATTGACAAAAATAAAGCAAACAGAATTATGTCTGAGCACTCAAATAGACAAACTTTATGTGCTGAGAAGTTTGAGCTTCACCAGTACTATCATAACCATTATATTTCAATCCTTCACTGGTCTCCAAACTGCCCTGAGACTGAGATTCCAGAATATCAAGGGATTCTCTCTCTGGAATCCAGATCACTGCATCAACTTCCCTGTTTTAAAACTGCTGCAAGGATGTAACTGCAAACTGTAAAAACAAAAGTAAATTAATTTAAAAGGAAATCAGCTGCAGCAGCTCTAGGACTTGCAAAAGTTACATGAAAATAAGAATAGGATTTTATAATGGGAACTTGGACATTCTACTGCTTTTATTATTCCTTTGAAGAGCATGTTGGGACGGAATATAAAGTGAGAAGATATTTTGAAACATCCAAACCTCTGTGGAAGTGACTCAGCTGGAAATAAAACACAAAGGCTGCCTTGCTGTTGAATAACCTACTGGTCTCTCACATACAAATAACAAATATAAACATCAAACTCTTCATCTGTTGCCTTCTGTATCAAAATCCCATGAGTGCTGAACTATAAAAGAATCAAGCAAATAATAGCACCACCTTCTCCATGAACACCTGCCTACATCTAACAGAAATTAACACCTAACATTTACCTATTACCACATTCTCCACTGCTAGGAATGAAATGAGAATTTGGGCTGAAGTATCCATGTGTCAGCTGAATAGATAACAAGAGCTGAATGGCGAGGGGACTGTGGGGGGCTGACAGCTTCCTCCACCCTCCTTGCAGCCCCCAGCAACAGCCACCCTTATTGTCTGACCAGCTGGGCTCTGACAAACCCACTGCCAACAGCAGTAGTTTTCAGGTAGCTACATATCATCCCTTAGAAGCAGCAAGTGCATTTAATGGATTGATTTGTAAACATTTATATTCTTGTCAAATTCCAAATCTGGTTTAACTGAACATTGAATAAACATGTTATTAGGAAAAATTCTGATGATTAAAAAAATGTGTTAGAGGGAAAATATGTTGAAACAAAAAAATGAAAGACATTTGTGCTAAAATGTAACTGGAAAGCAAGAATGTCTTCTGTTCCAACGTTGATGTGACAGTGTGAACATAATGGTCAATAGAACATTTTCTTGGAAACAGCTGCACCATTTCCTCTGGAGTAGGAAAAAGGTAAAATGTCTTGTTTATTTTTTATTCTCCTTTTGTTGGCAAAGTTCTCGAGAGCATGAGAACTCAGGTGTGATTTTGCTCCTTAAACCCAAAATTGCCAGCTGCTGTACATTAAAAATACTTGTGCCAAAATCTGTTCTTTCATTTCTGTGAAAGCTGCACCGCTGCTGTCATGGCCTCAGATTTATGCCAACAGGTAAATCTCAGGATGGACTTCAGACCTTTGTTATTAACTATTTAATAACGCCTGGGGAAAGTGAAGTAAGAGGGTGACGTAGGAGCCTGTTCTGACACCAAGGACTGTGGGCCATGTGAATAACGAGAAGGGAGGGGCAGGTGATTAACACATTCCTGCTTCATTTTTGAAAGCCTAGATTAAAATCAGCTCTATGTCACTATTCAAAATGCATTCAGAGATTTTAATTTAAGTTACTAATGTTAATTGGTCTGCACCACAAAAGTGCCAGGGGCACTGTGATGCAATTTGGACAAAAAGCAACCTTTGCTTTGGAGGGTCCTGAGGCTCAGTACAGAATATGTCAAATATCAAACAGCACAGATGTGTTGGATTGCTGGGTTTTGTTTCTTTGTTTTTTCACTGGAGGAGAGATGAAAACATGATTCAAGCATACACAGGAATCAGACCTAAGCATGTCATACCAGGTTGCCATGTGAGCAGTTCTGGATGCAGTAAGATTCACTGGTCACTGAAGACTTTTCTGCACCTTTTTCTCAGATACATCTGTAGCCCTTTCACACTCTGTATACATATTTGCAGACCACTCTTTTCTCTCTCTACTCCAGGAAAGCTCAAACATGTTAGCTGGATGCTGCTGCCATTTTCTATATTTGGGCATGGAAGAAGGTAGGACATTTTGCTTTGTTTTGCTTTGGTTCACCGCTGTTGGCAATGAAAACCACAACCACCCTGAGCCTGGTTTGGGGGATCTTCTTCCAAGCTGCTTTATGCCTTGTTTTGGGACCAGGCTCTGGGAAGTGCTGAGCTGGAAGAGCCGTGAGGACGTCCTGCAGCCAAAAAGATACCCAGCTCACTGTTAGGAGGTATGAATTAGAAGTTTCATTAATAAATTACAGAATCTATGCACATAAGTACAAATTCCTATGATATAAAATTCTCCCTGGCTGATCTCAAAGGGAGTTCAGTGCTTAAAGAATAGAATAGAACAAATTTATACTATTCTCTACAGACAAAATCTTCTGGCACAAACAGGAGTTTGGAGCTAAGGACTGGAAGCTTTTTTGCACTGGAAAATTGACTGGAATTACTATTGCAGAACAAGCTATTCTGCAACAGCTTACCATCTGACCCGTGACTTTTCCAGACTAGAATATCCACACAGGGAACTATTATGGAACAGTTTATTCAGAAATAGCTATTGTGGTTAGTCCTCCTGCACAGATAAATGCACAGTGTCCATGGATATCCATAGCAAGGGGAAAAGGACTTTTTTTTGTTCTTGTTCATTTTGCTTTCTTATTACAGGATAACACTTAATGTCAGATATATAGCATAGACAAATGGTAAAGCAGACAGGAGACTTCCAGTCAGGTCCTCATGCAACTGACTAACACCCATCACTGCATTTCCTAACATAGTACATGCTCATATATAGTCACTTACATGCTAAGAACATTTCTACATCTGCAAGGCTGCGTTCATCCCAGGAAGTTGCATCAGCTTAAGTAAATAATTAAAAACATCCCTAATCAGTGAAAAAAACATTAACAAACACATCTGTTGAAGTCTCTGATTGACAGACCTCACATCTCAGTCATCACTCATGATAACATCGTGCACACTGTTAGAAAGAAATACACTGCAGTTCCACGCATCTGCAACAACCAATCATTTTTTGTATTAGCTTATTAATTTTAATAAATAACAAATATATCCAACTGATGCCAGCAGTACCTCTTTCGGGTGGAGAATTCCTGTTTGTGCTTTAGGCATGGCCAGCTCACAGGTGGGTCTGGCACCTTCCCA